GTAGTACACAGGGTCACTATAGAGTTGTGCAGTGATGACGTATTTTTGAAGGCCGAACAGGAAGTAAGCATAGCAGCACGGTCTCATGACTTTTTGTGACCACCGCCATCCAAAAATGAACTTGTGTTGGCGCGATGACGTAATCTCATTCAGTCAATAGCAACTGCCGTTTGTTGACACGAAGAAGCTTCGGACATTCACGAGTGTGTTTACTGACGTGTTTTATGTTTTAGAAAAAAATGGAAGTCTTCTAAGCGTCTCTTAATGACAGATCCTTTTTTCAGGCATCTGAACAAAACACAGTGGCTTTGACACAAAGGAACCAGAAGTAGTCGAAAAGCTGACTAATTTTCCAGTTTAAGGACTCATTCCTGCACAACTATATGATCTACCCCTATTACATTACCTATAGAGTTAATGCAAAAAATAGTGCAGTTTTGTGTAAAACCTTTTTTATATATTCTATGGGTGAAACATTAAACGCACAGTTTTCACTGCAGCATATTTGTACATGGTTGTATTTCTATGTCACCAGAGTAAAATATCCTACCATGTTTGTGCTACATGAGATACTTAATCTCAGTGGCTACCTCTTTCAGTGTGAGTGCCAGCATATGTTTTAGGCTCTCTACACTGAAAAAAATGGTAAGATTTACTTGGGGAAATCGAGGTAAGAAATTGCACTCAGAAAACCTAAGTAAATTTAAAAACGTATATTTCAAGTAGCATCCACTTACAGAGAAGAAGTGTTTGTTACTAAAGGCACATTTCAGTTNCACGAGGNTGGTAAGATTTACTTGGGGAAATCGAGGTAAGAAATTGCACTCAGAAAACCTAAGTAAATTTAAAAACGTATATTTCAAGTAGCATCCACTTACAGAGAAGAAGTGTTTGTTACTAAAGGCACATTTCAGTTGTTGTAAGTACATTGTACTTACTATTGCATAGTAGATTTTACTTAAGATTACATTTCCATCTTATTACAAATCTCCAGTAAAAAAAACGAATTGGCTTTTTAGGTTTTTTTTATTTGCTACTCTTACCTTTTATTTAATAAATATGTAGGTAATATTTAAATATAATTATTAAGTATCATCAAATGCAATTGTTATTCAATAAAAAAGTTTTACACTAAGGCTACTACAAAACATGAAACAGTAGACACTTTTAAACACGTTTATTTTTGTTCCGTTGTCTGATAAATGCCATGATTAATCTACAGTTTACAATGATTTTAACAAATACTGCACATACATCAGTTAAACTAAACAAAGCATGCCGAAGAAGAATCCGGCCCTTTACTTAAGTAAAAATATTCATACCACACTGTAAGAATACTCTATTACAAGTGAAAGTGTGGTAATGAAAATGTTACTTAAGTAAAACTATAATTAGCTAAATTCTGTTTGAGTATTACATGTGATACATACCCTGTAGTAAAAAATCCAATATTAACAAAAAAAACGTAATAGCTCAAGGATTTCTAACAATATTTAAATGTTTTGATAAATTAAAAACCAGAACCTTATATTTTATAAACTCTATATAAGATAGTAAAGCACAAAGTACAATATTTCCTTTTGATTTGTAGTGGAGTATAAAGTGCAACGAAAAGAAAATTCTCAAGTACCTCAAAAATCCACCACTGCTTTTGCAAAAATGTGTACTTTCAAGAGAAATCTTGAGGAAATTAAGTTCAAGATGGATTTTTGAAAATGACAGAAGCGTATTTCAACTTTGATGTGTTACTTAAGTTCATTGCATGGACGATGCCCCTGAGCAGAAGGCAGGCGTTCGCCAAACATTTACACTCATCCAGGCCCTCAGACCCCTCGATGGAGATAGACACGTTGGGAGGCGTGGTGTCTTCTTTTGCTGCACTTCATGGAAGACATGGAGCTTCACGACACTCAGCATAGTCCTTTTTCCACGATATCTTTGCCTCCATTCTGTCAAAACATGTAAATCAGTGTTAACATACAATACTGTAAACTTTTCCAAGACTGATTTGGTTGAGCTAGTTATTTAATTTAGTATTTAA